CAGTGAATTCCTTCCAGGGTCTGAGGATAGGACAGGGCCTGGAGGGCACCAAGGAACTTGCCTCCAGCAAGCCGATGGTGTGATGGTGTGGAGCAGGTGTCAGGGAGGAGTCAAAGCTACAGAACATAAGTGGGACCTACTGGCATGGCTCAGTGGATGAGCATCAACCTATGAACCAGGAGGTCACGGTTTGATTCCTGGTCTGGGCACATGCCTGGGTTGCGGGCTCAGTCCACGGTGTGGGGCGTGCAGAAGGCAGCCGGTCAATGATTCTATCTGTTGATTGATGTTTCTATCTCTCTCTCCCTCTCCCTCTCCCTTCCTCTCTGAAATAAAATGTATATATACTTTTTAAAGGAAAAGAATGAACACATTATATATTTTTTAAAAAAGAATATAGGTGGGGGCCCACCTGGGACCTGCAGAAGCCTCAGCTCAGCACAGAGCTGTCACCTAGGACCCCTTCCCCACACCCCAAGTGGGCCATAGACAGGGGCTCATGAGGGATCTTGTTAACCCCCTTGCTTTTGCCCACTTCACAACTCTGCCTGGAAATCCTTTCCTTACTCACCGCCCCCCATTACCTTTCCCTGCAGGGGGCCCTTATGTGGGGGCTGAGCCAGACTCAGGGGTGTTCAGGGCGGCACTGTTGTGGGGAAGGAAGTCATCAGATGGCACTGGGAGGGGTGTTTAAATAACCCAGGGTGAATCCACACCAGGAAAGGCCCCGCCCCGAGAAGAATGGGAAGGGATGCGGCGTGCTGCTGAGACACACATAGGGGCAGGTGCCAAGTGCAAGGGTGAGGGAGAGAATGAACATGCATGTGTACGTGCACAGAAAACTTCTGGAAGAATCCACAAGAAACTTAGCCATGAGTCCCCTCAGGAGGGACAAGGGAGAAATCTAGCATTTGGACTTAAAAAAAACTTTTTTGTATGTCCTTGAATTGCTTTTTCAATGTCTTTCCCCAGTTACTATTAAAAACTCATTTAAGAATGACCAAAGTCTGTCATTCCCTCTTCCAGAGCCTTCCTTCTACCCCCTTCCCTGTCCCCCAACTTCTTGACCCACCACACTCTATGGTTCTAACCTCCTTCCTTGTTGGAAGAGGACTGGGGGATTCTGGTGGATAAGGATTACGGAAGATGTGAAATTTGGGGGGAAGAGAACCATGCGGAGGAAGGTAGCCAGTCTACCGTTCAGTTGCTGAGAGTCTAACAGCCGTAAAGATACAAACAAGTACAAAGCCCACCGTGATGAGTCTAGAAAGAAGAGCTGCGTCAGGGTCCAGAGATGGGGAGGAGGGGAGCAGCCCGGGGAGACCTGGGTGGGAGTCCTCGCTCAGTCCCTTTCAGCTGTGTGAACGTGGGGAAATCCTTTTCCCTCTCCGAACCTCCGTTTCCCTCATCTGTGAAATGGGCACAACTGTAGCATCCCCCTCAAGGGTGAGCTCCCGTGTATTAAGCGCTTGCCCCCTAGCAGTTAGTGAGGGCTCAACCAATGGAGGGGGCGGTGTGCACATCTGTAGCTGGAGGCTCAATGCTAATGGGACTGAGGGGTATAAGCAAGAACTCTAAACTGTCTCCAAACCCTGGACTTCTCCCAACTTCCAAATCTCCTTTCCCACACCCTCTAGGTCCACTTAGGGGAGGGAACCAGGCTAGGAGCCTCCAGGTGAGCAGGCTTGCAGCTCAGCTGCTGAGTAACAGCCATGACCTTGACGATGTTAATGCCACTTCTCATTGATTGAGGGTGATTCTGTGCCAAGCAACAGGGTGTGTGCCTGACATGCCTCAGCTGATTGATTGTCCCCAAGGACCACCCCCATACCCTGTGGTGAAGCAGACCAGCCAGCTGGGAGGAAGCTCTTATGTTCCAGGGAAAGGCACTGAGGTCCTGGGAGGTCGGTGCCCAATGGGCTGGTTCCCAGGTCAGCCTGCTGGAGTCCTGGACCCCCACCCCCTTTACCCTCCCAGGCCCCTGCTGACTCAGCTGGGTCCCCACCCAGGAGCTTCAGGAGAGTTAGCAGGTTTAGGGAGGAATTTGTGTTGTGCCTCACGGTCCCTCCTCCCTCATCCTCTACAAGCTGGGCTCCGAGAGCTGGTGTGGCTGCGTGTGCATGCACATGTGTATACACGTGTGCACACCACTGGTCTCGGGCAGGAGGATGGGGTGGGAGCTGCGTTCTGGCCCTGTGCATCCTCCTCTGGGCAGATGGGATTTGTTTGGTTCTCCTCTTATGCCAAGTGACTCATCCCTCTGCCATGTGGGATGGGGGTTCAGGGAGGGTGTTTGCTTTCCTGGCATTTGCTTGATGGTTAACCCCACAGAGGTGGCACCTGCAGGGCCACTGGGTTCCCTGGTAACCAGGCCACCCTCGGCCCCTTGACCCCGTCCCCTCTCTGTAGCCGGGCCAGGCTGTGGCTCCCAGGAGGCCACCACTTTCCTGAAAGGTCAGGAAACACTCTCATTGTTTGCTGTCGCTGTTTCCCCAGCAGCTGGAGAGCTGCTTGTTCACTCGCTGGCTTGGGGTGTTTCTATGAACCAGTTTGAAACAAGAAGGGCAGCATTCCCCCAGCCCCAGAGAGAGGGGAGTGTGTAGGACCCAGCAGCCTGTTCCTTACCCTGTGAGCCTTCTCCTCCCAGGGCGAGGCCAGCCCAGCCTCCAGCAGATAGTCATTCTCCCATCTCCAACTGTTCAGCACCCCGCCCCCCGCCCCAACACACACACACAACTGAGGAGCATTTACAGATGCAGATTCTAGGGCCCCCTCTGAGATTATGGTGGGTTTAGGTAGGTCCCAGGGATCTGCATATTAACAAGCACCTACGCCCACCCCCACGCTAACGCAGGCGGTTTCTGGGCCGCCCTGAGAGGCGCAGCTGTGAACAGGAAGAGAGGCAGCACAAGCTCAGGCCTGGTCCACACCCCCCGAGAAGAGCCCACAGGCTGTAGCTTGAAGCCAACCTGGGTTTGAATCCTGGCTCCCACTCATCAAACTGTGTGGCCTCGGGTAGGTGGCTTAACCTCTCTGAGCCGTGGTGTCCCTAACTCTAAAATGGGGAAGAGCCAGTGCGCCCGGCACTGAGGCCCCTCTCTTCCTCTCTCTTCCTCACCTACCAAAGGGACAGAAGGGGGCTGGCCTAGCTTCTCTCGTGTTTTGTAACACATATTTACTTTTCCAGCAGAACAATGCAAGGGATGGAAAATCATGCTGGCCCTTCAGCAAGATGGGCTGAGTCACACTCGGTCCTGAGGGCCTATTGAGCTCCCCACAGCCCAGGCTGGGCCAGAGGGAGGCTGGGCCCTGGCAACCGGGGCAGGAGAGGGTCCACGATGAGTCACCCTCTGCCTGCCCCTGAGTCATTCCCCAAGAATGGCCCCCCCTCAGTGGAGGCCCCTGCCAGGCAGCCACACCCTGCTGCCCCCACAGGGAGCCGCTGCTCAATGACCCCCTGCCAGCCCTCCCTGGGTGCAGACGTGCACCTGTCAGCTGCGTCTGTTATCAGAATATTGAAACAGCTCCCCACCGGTGGTTAAATAGCAACTGCTTTGAGCCTCGGCTGCTCCGGGCCACCCTGGCCCTTCCCGCAGGACCCAGCCCCTGATTAGCTCTCATCTCAGCAGGGGGCCTCTCCAGCCCGGCCTCACCCACAGGGCAGCACCCACTCAGACCCAGCCATACTACCCCACCCGGCCATCTCGCAGGTCTAGGCCTCAGTGTGCACCGTGGGCCGCTTTCCAGCACAATCTGTCCCACATCTCCGGACACCTTGTTTCCAGCCGGTCCCTGGGCCTCTCAGACCAGGCTGGGAGTGCCGCCCAGCAAAGAGGTCACGCAGTCAGGGCAGAGAGTGGATGGAGCTGGGTGGGGCCAGACTGGCTCTGCCAGGCCTGGGATCCCCGCAGGACAGGCTGCCCAACCCCAAAACTCCCATCCTCCCCTCAACGCCTAAGCCTACTTCCTCCCAAGCCTACTTCCTCCCACCCGCTTGCCTCACAGGGCCCTGCCAGGGCTCACGTCTGCCAGACCGGTAGGGCTGCATTTCTGGGGCCAGTGTCCTGGACGTGACAGCCCCTGGGGATCCCAGGTCAGGAGGTTAGGATTCCATTCCTCTGTGAGGCTGGGGGCCTGCGTGATGGACAGACCAGGTCCCAAGGGGCAAAACAGAATAAAATCGGGTTTTAACTTTAAACCAGCCTGGGTTTGAATCCTGGCTCTGCCATGCATCCAACTGTGTGACCTTAGGCAGGTGGATTAACCGCTCTAAAACTCAGTTTCTCCTTCTGTCACATGAAGAAGAACCAAGGAGCTTAGATGTCAAGCCCCAGCTCCTATATTTCCAAGCTGTGTCACCCTGGGGAAATGTCTTTGCCTCTCTGAACCTCGGTTTCTCCATCTGTAAGATGGGGGCAGTGGAGGCTGCTCCATGGGGTCTTAAAAGGATTCAGTGAAGTCAGACACGCAATCATGACTTCAACCACTTTTGTTGAACATTTACTATGTGCCAGGCCCTGTGCTAAGTGCTTGTCTTGGGGGGTTGGTACTGTTTTCCAGCTGTATTGAGGTATGAAGGACATACAACAAAGTGCACGTAGAGTGTGCTGACTGATGAGTTTTGACGTAAACACCCAACAGTGAAGCCATCACCACCACGAAGATGATGAACTGCCCTCTTCCTCTCCCATTTTTCAGACATGGAAACTGACGCTCCAAGACATTCCCTGCTTGCCCAAGGTGGCCACGAGGAGACTCGGAATTTAAACCCTACAGTCTGAGCCAGCACCCTGTCCCCACCTTCACCGCCATTCAGCAGGGTGCTTGGCACAGAGTAGGTACTCAATGTCATTGCTAAATAAATGAATGAGAGAGGGTCAGTGTACAGGGGTGGTTACAGGGAAGGTCCCCAGAGGAGAACAAACCAAGGGCTAGTAGATCCTGAGTCAGAACTAAGGTAGAAGAGAAAGGGTTCATTCATTAAAAATTTATTGAGCACCTGCTATGTGACAAGTCCTGTGCTAGGCACTCAGGATACAGGTCCAGCACAGCAGACACAGGTTCCTGCCCTCAGAGAGCTGGCTGCAGAGGACCAGGGCTGGGGGAGGGATGGGGGGACAGTATAAGTTTGAGGCCACTTGTGGATGGAAGATGACACCTGTCGCCAGGACCCCAATTACAGAGCACCCCAGGCAGACAAAGTCATGGAGCAGGGTCCCCGGGACCCTGTGAGGAAAGCCCCCAGACTACCGGCTGAGGGCGGTTGGAGCCCTGGTTAGGAAGGAGGGACCCCCAGTTCCCTCACCATCCTCCCTCCTGCACATCACTGACATTTCCATGGGAATTAGGGCAGGATCTCCACCTCTTGTCCTCACAGTGCCTTCTATACATTTACTTATCCATTTATGAAGCACCTACTGTATGCCTAGCCCTGGGGATACAGCAGCTAACAAGATACAGCCCAGTCTGGGAAGGGAAAGGGAGAAAAATGCAACCAGACAACCACATTTTTCAGAAATGAAATAACCTACGTGTCCATCAATGGGGGAGTGGCTGATACATAATGAACCTGTCATAGTCTGGAAGGGTAGACAGGGGTCAGGAATGTGACGGGTGTATAAGCGTCTCAAGGAAGGAAGCCTGGGTATATAAGTGAAAAAAGGAAGTGGCCACCATTGGGTGTTGTATTGTTGCCAACTGTGATTAAAATAGAGCTGCCTCCATATCTCGATGGCTTTGCCCTCCCGTCTGCCTGCCTCGGTCTGGGTCTGCCTGGCCCTTTGTCCACTCTATCTGCTGAGATGAAACATTCCTGCCCAGGACCCAGGGAGCCAATCCTCCATGCGCTGCCTTCCCAGGCCACTCGCAGGTCACCGGCTCAGGCTTAATCCCTCGCCCGGGCCCAGACCTCCAGGACTGATGAGTCAACACAAGCCAGCTCTGAACAAACACCCCCTCTTCCTGGCCCGGGGTCCCTCTTCCACCCCCGGCCGGCCCAGTCCATCCTGTTCCCCAGGAAGCACCCATCCTCTGCTGGTCTGGGCGACTCCTGAGCAGCCCTGTCCCCTGGGACTTCCTGCCGTGACCGGAATATTCCACACATACCTGGGAGGCATTAGCTGCCTGTGGCTACTGAGCACTTGAAGTGTGGCTGGTGCAACTAAATTTTTAATGTTACTGTTTATGTTATATGTGCTATTATTTATATAAATATATGATGCATTCATATTCATTTAATTAATTTAAATGGCCAACATGTGGCTGGTTGCTATTTCACTGGGAGGATCCAGAGAGACAGCCTGGGTCCAGGCATGAAGAAGTGGACATCCTGGGACCCTGGCCTCTGCCCCAGGTAGAGTCAGCCTGGGGGGCTGGTTGGACAGCTGGGGCCTCAGGGACTGACTGGGGGTGTCCCTTGGGGTCTGCTCTATTGATGGGGCTGAACATAGCTTTGGGTGCCTGTGGCCACCCCTCCACCTACCTAGCCCTTGGTCTGACTCCAGCTGGATGGGCAGCGTCGTGATGTGAGCTGACCTCTTACTGTTAGAGCCCAACTCCAGCACCGTGTCCAACCTCCTTCACTCTCCCGGACCTCTGACTATTACACCACAGCCCTGCCCCTCCTCTGCTGGTTCCCATCTCTGTTCCCCACTCCAGGCAGCTTCCAGAGGACTTGACCTAGGATGGCGGGTTGTTGTCACATCTAATCTGCTAAAAGGCAACAGTGACACATCCCCCTTCCACCAGGGGGACTCAGAGTCTACAGCTGCCCTGGCCCAGTTCCCCCTAATGAGCTTGGGTACAAAGACTTTGCTTTTGAAGTAACCCCAGGGCACAGGATCAGGGCATGAGGAAGAGCTGGTGGGGGGTTTAAATAGGGGGGTGGTGAGAGGTTGGGAGGCTAATCAACCCAGGGTGCCGGGGCAAGCTGGGCCCTGCAGTGGGCTGATGGTGGCCCCCAAAAGGTAAGTGCAAGTCCTAACCCCCTGCAAGCTGGGAATGTGTCCTTATTTGGAAAAAGGGTCTTTAAGGATCCTTAAGTTAAGGATCTCAAGATGAGATCGTCCTGGATTTAGGGTGGGCCCTGCATCCAATGACAGGTGTTCTTATAAGAGAAAGATCGGAAGAGAACGGAGGGACCCAGCCTGGCCTGAGATATCTGAGACAAGATGCAGGACCCCAACGCAGACACTGAGAGGAATGACATCTCACGCAAAAAGGGCATCTTACCCTCAAAGGAAAGTTTGAACGAACTGGAAAAGGAGGCAGAAGAGGAGGAGCAGCGAGTCCTTCAGCCGTCAGTTGTGAAAACATACGAAGATATGACTCTGGAAGAATTGGAGGATAATGAAGACGAACTGAATGAGGAAGATGGACAAGCTATTGACATGTGTAGGCAGCAGAGACTGGCTGAGGGGAGAGCCACCCAACTGAGGAATAAATGTGAAGAAGGTTTGGAGATCCCAGGAAAGGATTATGTTCAGGAAGTTACCAAAGCTGGAGAGGGCTTGTGGGTGATCCTGCACCTTTACAAACAAGGGACTCCCCTCTCTTCCCTGAGACACCGGCTCTTCAGTGGACTTGCCAGGAAGTTCCCTCATGTCAAGTTTATCAAGGCCATTTCAACAACCTGCACACCCAATTATCCTGACAGGAATCTGCCCATGGTATTTGTTCACGTTGAAGGCGCTATCAAGGCTCAGTTTATGGGACCTCTAGTGTTTGGCGACATGAACCTGACAATAGATGAATTGGAGTGGAAATTGTCTGAGTCTGGACCAATCAAGACAGACCTGGAGGAAAACCCTAAGAAGCCAATTGAAGACGCCTGACTGTCCTCGGGGCACAGCTCCGTGCCCATGAGCAGGGGCGGCGATTCTGAGGCTGACTGAGGCTGTGCCCAGGTAACGTGCTGAGCTTTCTTGATGTGACAGATCATCTGGATTTTTTTTTTTTTAAAAAAAGGAAAAAGTAGAAATGAATCCTTTTGGTTTTTATAATTATGTTTCAAATCTCATAGTTCTCAGGAATAATCACTGCTGGGAATCTTCTTGAATTTCTTAGAACTCTTTTTAAATTAATAACATTTTCTTAAAAATAAAAACCAGCTGTTGGCATGACGAGAGAGAGAGAGAGAGAGAGAGAGAGAGAGGCAGAGTGAGATCTGAGACACACAGACATGTGGAGAAGAGAACAAGGCTATGCAATCACTGAGCACTGACTGAGGCAGAGATTGGAGTGATGCGAATTCAGGATGCAGGAGGCCATTGCCAGGGAATGATTGCAGCATCCTGTGATTATATAGAAACCATGGACTTGTAGCCCATAAATGAATGGATTGTACGGTGTGAGAATTATGTTTCAATAAAGCAGAGTTATCACTTTCCTACACTGAAAAATATACATAACATAAAACTTACCATTTCAAGCGCACAGTTCAGTGCATTTAGTATTTCACATTGTTGTGCAACCATCACCATCATCCATCTCCACAACTTTCTTATCTTGCAAAACTGAAACTCCACACCCGTTAAATATTAACTCCCCATTCCACCTTCTTCCTGCTCCTGGCAACCACCATTCTACTTTCTGTCTCTATGAATTCAACAGCTCTAGGGACCTCATTTAACTTACAAAATTGCCATATGATAATTGCCCTTTTGTGCCTGGCTTCTTTCACGTAGCATATCTTCACGTTTCATCTGTCAGATGTCCTTCCTTTTAAAGGCTGAACAATGTCCATGTTCCCCGAATTTTAAAGGAGAAGCCACTATGGCTACCTTCACTGCAGAGACACTGGGCGTGGCAGGGCCAGAATGCACACCCAGGTCACCTGACTCCAGCACCCACCACTCACCACTCTGTAACCCACCCCCTTCCCAAGCACACGGGACTCCCCTGCGCCTCCTTACTCTTCTTCCTGCCCCCCTCCCTCCTCATTGGGAGATCCTAGGGCAGCGGTTCTCAACCTGTGGGTCGCGACCCCTTTGGAGGTCAAATGACCCTTTCACAGGGGTCGCCTAAGACCATCCTGCATATCAGATATTTACATTACGATTCATAACAGTAGCAACATCACAGTTATGAAGTAGCAACGAAAATAATTTGATGGTTGGGTCACAACATGAGGAACTGTATTTAAAGGGCCAGAAGGTTGAGAACCACTGTCCTAGGGGCGTAGAGAGCCTTTTGCTCACCTTTGGACCCTGACCGCACATGCAGCTCCAGGTGGAGTCCAGAGCAGCGAAGCAGCATTTGTGGAAGTGACTTGACTTGGAGGTGGGTTGGGGGTCAAAGTGGGTGGGGCCTGGCTGTGCAGCCCCCTTGGTCAGGCTCCCCCAGACTCTGCCTCTTGCTCAAGCTAAGCCACCTAATGACCAGGACCTCTGCATTGAGTTGTACAAGCTACAACCTGCACACAGCTACCTGCCCTGCCATTGACTCTTAAGACCCTCCAGGTTCCCAAATCCAAGAGACCTCTGAGCTCTGCTCTGAGGTGGGGAGGGTGTGTGTGTGTGTGGCTTGAGGCAGCCTGGGACAAATGAGATCGGTGCAGAAAGCAGATTGGGGGGCAGGGCGGAGGGGGGTGTCCCAGGGGCTGGTGGAAGGAAGATATGACTGCATAAAGGGACCGAGTTTCCTTTTGGGGTGAGGAAAATGTTCTGGAAGTAGATAGTGGTGCTGGTTGCACAACCTTGTGAATGTCACTTAATTGTATTAAAAGCCACTTAATTGTATACTTAAAAATGGTAAATTTTATGTTATGTTCATTTTAACACAATAAAACATACCCAACTTTCTTTAGCTTCAGCACTATCCCAAGGCCCTTCTCTATTATAGGAACCAGATCTAGGACCACTTGTGTCCCACAAGGGCTGGACTCTGGACCCTCTCTCTCCACTCCCCTCTTCATGCCACCTGCTCTTGATATCAACTGAGAACATTTCCCTTCAGGACACCTTCCAGGATCCTCTGTGTTAGGATTGGGCCAAGTGTTTTAGTCAAATAAATGCATCACCAATGGTTAAATTTCCTGCAGGGGAGGTATTCAAAGACATGGGGTGTTTCTGGAGTTTTCAAAACACAACTCACTACGAGGCAGCTTTGGCTTGGTCATTCCCACAGGACAAGTAATAAACAGAAATTAGGAAGAGCTTGGAAGGCCTGTCCCTGGGACTGACTTCAAATCACCCCATCCTTCTGGCACCTCCTCAGTCCAGGGCCCAGGATGCCTGGCTATCTTTTCAGTTCAGGCTGGGAAAGCACATCTTAGGTACTTTAGCTCCAGCCCTGAGGGAAGAAGGCTTTGGAGAACCAGAGTCCTGGGTTTGGGTTCCTTACTAGCTGTGTGACTTTGAGGAAGTTACTCAACCTCTCTGTGCTTAGTTTCCTTGTCTTTAAAATGAAGATTAAAATAGTTGTGACCTAAAAAAGTTTTTTTTTAAATTAGGTGATAGTCATATAACGTAAAACTAACCATTTCGATGTGTACAATTTGGTGGCATTTAGTGCATTCACAATGCTGTGCAACCAGCGCCTCTATGGAGTCCCAAAACATTTTCATCATTATAGCCTTAGAATCCCATCATTACGGCCTTAGAATAATGCCTGGTACAGCAAGTGCCAATGAGTGCTCCATAAATGGCAGGATAATTAGTAGAACAGTGGTCATAACAGGTAACCAGAGGTGGGTGATGGGATTAAGTTACTTCCCTTGGCCTGCAGGAAGAAGTTAGGTTCTCACTCGCTTCTGGGCCCCATTTTCCACCTTGAGCTCTCTATACCCACCCACTGTTGCACCCCTCCCCCCATCCAGGGTCATGCCCTCACCGGTTGGGCTGATGGAGCCAGGAAACCCAGCCCCTCTTCCGCAGTCTCAGGGCCTCTCCTTGGCGCCTTTTGGCTCTGCTTGGCCCACTCCGCTGCTGCTCCCCCAAGCTGTCACCTTCTGTGGCAAAGGAGACACGTGTGGGCAGGGGCGTCGGGGAAGATTCAGCCAGGGCGAAAAGAGAATGAATGGGAGTGGAAACACGCCCACATCTGGGAGGAGCTCTTATGAGCAGACCGCCCTCACTTAGGAGCGCACCACCTTCTTCCCCAGGGTCGGCTTTTACTCCGAGCATCCTGGGATCCCCGGCATCCAGCAGATCCCCGGGAATCTATATTAACATGCACCCTGCTGAAGGGAGCTGGAAAGTTTGGGACAGACTACTGCCGCCCCATCCTTCCAGGTGCAAACATCCGTTCGGTGGTTACTTTGTGCAATTTAACGCCTTTCGTGCCATCATTATAGCTTTGTGATAATGCTCACTACGTACATGCACGGACACGCAGGAAAAGCAGGCGAGTTTCCTTGATGAGTCGAGGTACAGCAAAACATCCCAGGACCCGTCTCCCCCAATTCACCTAGGAGCCAAGAACTGTCGTTTGCTGCCATCTTGTGGCAGGCATGGGAACTTTGCGCTCCATTTCAACCCTTTATAGTCCTAACCAAGAAAACATACTGGCCACAGGTCACCAGTAAGATCCTGAGTGCCTAAGTCAGACAGAGAAAGATAAATACCATATGATTTCACTCATGTATGGAATCTAAAGGAAAAAATAAATGAACAAAACAGACACAGACTCATAGATACAGAGAACAAACTGAGGGTTGCGAGATGGGAGAGGGACTGAGGGGTTTGGTGAAAAAGGTGAAAGGAAAAGAAGTACAAATTAGTAGTTAGAAAATAGTCAAGGGGATGTAAAGTACAGCTTAGGGAACATAGTCAATAATATTGTAGTAACTATGCATTGTCAGGTGGATACTAGAATTATCAGGGGAATCACTTCTTAAATTATATAATTGTCTAACCACTATGCTGTACACCCGAAACTAATATAAAGTAATATTGAATGTCAACTGTAATTTAAAAAAGATCCTATGTACCTGGGGGCAGATAACAAGACAGACATGGTCCCAACCTTGCGAAGCTCACAATCCCCTAGAAGAGACAATCAATAATCCACAAGTAAATAAAATGAATGAATAAAAAAATGATTATAGAATGTGATACAACCCAGGAACAAAGCAGGGGCTGAGTATCACAGGGTGAAAAGATATGTTTAATAAACCGAGTGTCTATCTGCCTACATACCCACTCCCTGCCCAGAGCTGTGGGCCACACAAGGGCATGTGCATCTGTTGGACTCCCCCTTGTAAATGGGTAAAGTCACCCAGTGTTGGCACATAGTAGGTGCTCAGTAAATGTCTAATAAATACACGATGGCAACACTGTGCTCAGCCAGCTTCTTGGCTCCTTCAGACCAAACAGATGGGGAGAGGGAAGAGGGGCTTATGGAAGAGAAGCTGGGTCCCTGGGGGTCCTGGGATGGCTGTAAGGGTTTGGGTGAGGATGATGGACAACTGTCACCCTCCCACGGAGACCCCAGTCCACCCTGTTTTAAATTGTACCCTCATTCCACTTGTTTCTTGAACCCTTCCCTTGCTTATATTTTTAATTTTGGCATTTTTCACCAACTCACATACTATGTATTTGCCTTATTTATTTAACATTTGTCTCCCCCCCCCCCCATCCCGGAATGTAAACTCTCCGATGGCAAGGATTTTGTCTATTTTGTTCACTGATGACTCTCCAGTGCCTAGAAGTGCCTGACACTTAGCAGGTGCTCTGTAAATGTTTGCAGAGTGAATGAATGATGCATGGGTGGGACTTGGGAGCAGGACCATGAGGGCACCGAGGGGAGACCAGTGGGAGGAGTGGAGCTCAGAGTCCAAGCAGCAGGTTGATCGAGTTACAGAAGAGGCCAAGTGTAAACTACTAGGAGGGGAGGCATTGGGCGGGGCAAGGGTCCCTCGAGGCAAAGCTAGGCTGGGGGTGGAGCCCTGGGGCGCTCTTCCTGGGGTTGGGCCATTCCCGAGGTTTCGAGCTTTAAGGGAGAAACCGGTATGGGGGCGGGGCCCAAGCGAGGTATGGCCAATCTGGAGGAAGAGCCGGACTGGGGGCGTGGTCAAACAAGAGAAATAAATGAAAGGAGGGGCTAAGATGGGGGGCGGGGCCAGGAAGCGGCTGGACCAATCAGGGATCCGGGTGAATCTGGGAGGGGACGTGGGCAGGGCCACCAATGGGCGGGGCCAGTCCAGAGGCGGGGCCGGGCCAGGATCTCTGCTGTCCCGGGTCCTGGAGCGCTCCCGCCCGGCAGGTCTCGCTCCCGCCCGGCAGGTCTCACTCCCGACCTGCAGGCCCTTCTCGGACCATATCGGCCCCAGGGTGCGTAGGGCTGGACTCTCCAGGCTCCGAGACTGTGGTCCGGCCTCGCCCCAGGCACTGCGCTCGGAGCCAGGCGGCTACGGGGTCCCTGGCGGGCTGAGTTCCTTGCTGCCCCGGGCTGTGTCCCCACAGACTCTGACAGCGAGGGTGAGCCAGCCCTTTCGTGCATGCGAGTGTGCATGCTTGTGTTTGTCTCCTGCATGTGCGCACCAGTGTGTGTGTGTGGACGTCTGTGTGCACAAGAGGAATTGTGTGTGTGGGTAGAGTTGGGTAGGTGCATGCTCCAGGGAACTGAGTGCGTGTGAAAGTTACGTGCATGCGAAAGGGTGGTCCCACGTGGGAGGAGAGTCCTGCGTGTGTGTATGTGTGTGAGACAGAGACAGTGTGTGCGAAATTTGGTAAAGATTGTGTGTGTCGAGGTATCTTGAAGGAAATGGAAGGGAAGATACAGTGATTCTTGGAGGATGTCTGTGGCGAGCTATGGGGTATGTGCGGTGAATTGTGGGAGTGTAAGAATTGCGAATGTGTGTGTTTCCATGTGAGTGCCAGTGAGGGTGCTTCTGGGGGCCTCCACGCGAAGGGGTAGAGACCAAAGAAAGTTTTGGGGTACTGATTGCTCTTGGAGGGTGAGTGCTGGGGCCTGGCTTGGGGATTACATTGCGTTCTTTGCTTTGAGGGCTGGGAGATTTGGGGGTGGGGCTAGAGGGGGTGGCCCTACTCCTTACACGGTGGAGCAGCGGGTACGTTCTTGCTTCATGTGGAGGGAGCTGCCACCTCAGCAGTCACCTGTCTCCCAGGCTCTGTGCTCACTCCTACCTGAGTGGCTTCTGTTGGTGCTTCCGTGTGAACATGGTGCAGAAGTACCAGTCTCCTGTCCGCATCTACAAGTACCCATTCGAGCTGGTCATGGCGGTGAGTGACCCCTGATTCTCTGGGTCCTGTGTGGTGGTTGGAGGGTGCAGGAGGTCAGCTATGATGGGAAGGAAAGAAAACCCCTCAGTCCCTGGACCAGAGGGAATTATTGGTTAACCTGGTGGGTCCAGTTTCTAACCAGTGACCCCTCAGCCTGCCCATCCTACCTTTCCTACAACTTCTGGAATCCTTGCCCACTGACAAAGCACAAGGTCTTTCTTTCTTTTCCTTGTTGAAGCTTACATGTCCTCTTGTCTCAAGATTCTCTGACATAAAACAAGGAAATCAGCTAAGTCACTGCTGTCATTTTGTGTAATGATAATAATAGTAATAATAATAAGTGCACTAATGAGGATGAGGATGATGGCAGCCATTCACTGAGGGTGTACAGTATGTCCAGTAAGTACAAAGAATATATGTAAAGATCAGCTGGTGTGGCTTAGTGGTTGAGTGTCAACCCATGTAGCAGTTGCCAGTTTGATTCCTGGTCAGGGCACCTGCCCTGGTTGCAGACTCTATCCCCAGTAGGGAGTGTGTAGGACAGTGGTTCTCAACCTTCCTAATGCCGCGACGCTTTAATACAGTTCATCATGTTGTGGTGACCCCCAACCATAAAATTATTTTCGTTGCTACTTCATAACTGTAATTTTGCTACTGTTATGAATCGTAATGTAAATATCTGATATGCAGGATGTATTTTCATTGTTACAAATTGAACATAATTAAAGCATAGTGATTAATCACAAAAACAATATGTAATTATATATGTGTTTTCCGATGATCTTAGGCAACCCCTGTGAAAGGGTCGTTCGACCCCCCAAGGGGTCGCGACCCACAGGTTGAGAACCGCTGGTGTAGGAGGTAGCCAATAGATGGTACTCTCTGTCATTTATGTTTCTCGCTCTCTCTCTCCCTTCCTCTCTCTAAAAATTAATAAAAAACATTAAAAAAGAATGTGTAAAAACATACATTTAATTCCCAATATCTCACATTATTCTCATTTTATCTCCACTAAATGGAAGCTTGGACATGTGACAGGACGGCCTCAAGTTCTGTGGCTAGGAAGAGGTAGAGCAGGGAGGACTCCAGAGCCATAATTTTAACCACAACACTCCCCAGGGTCCTCCTTCCATTCACACACCCTCTGTATGTGTCCTGCCTGATCTTAGTCTATGATCCTACCTACAGATGTATTTATAGTCGCATAAAGGATAAAAAAAATCTTCCATACATGTTGTGCTGTTACGTGTAGATAGTTCCACGTCAGGAAAGAAGCAGGGGGTCTACTGACTAGCTGGTGACCTTGGGCAAGTTCCTTAGCCTCTCTGAGCCTCCACTCCCCATCACTAAAATGAGAATTACATAGTTTCCAAATCTGGGCATCCTGCTGAGGAGCAAATGAGTCAATATATGTAAAGCTTTTCATGCAGGATCTGGCACAGATCAAATGCTATTATTGTTTTTGTTAGAGTTATTTTTGTTGCCCATGGCTGTGTGACTTTTCTTCATGTGTAAGAGGGGTGGGACACCAGTGGGTGATGGAGAGATTTGGGGACATGCCGTCAGAAGCCCTGGTCCCTATCGCAGCTCCACAGTGCTCTGGCTGTGTCTTCAGGAAGTCACTGCATTTCTCTGAGCCTTGGTTTCTTCATTTGTGAAACGGGGATGGTTATATGCACCTCATAAGACTGTCATGAGGATTAAAGATGATTAATGCGTGTGTTCGACCCAGTGCAGGGCCTGGTCCATACTAAGCAGACAATAAATGACGGCTAAATAA